GTTTGGCATTGGCTGAAGAATGTACAGAAAGAGTGTCACAGAACGTCTAGGCTGTAAGTATAATACTAGAGCCTTTTGTGAAGCTCCTTCCTTTCATAACCAATGAAATGATTCTGTACATGGAGTTCATACAAGGTTTTTAAAAAACAAAACAAAGAACTCCTTGGATGCTATGTTAGCCTGACTTTATCTTTTATCTAATAGAACTAAAAATCCAGCTATTCAAGCAAGCATGTTTGTATATTCCCCCTCCATCCTTAAAACTCTTTTCCAGCCCCCTTTGCACTCTAATGCTAGATTTATACCTAGGAGATGTGGAAATGAGCAATATGATGGATGGATGGATGCAGCTTGTCTGGATTTTTCACCACCATTTCCCCTGGGGCACTCCATCTGCTGGCAGAGAGCACCATCCCAAAAGATGGTATCTTTTGCAAACTCGACAGCTAACAGACAGCTTCTCTCTCAGCATCATCCCCAGAAGAAGAGTAGGCTTAATCTGTTCCCCCCGCCCAGCACGTCCCATGCCATATTTCATGATATTTTTTCTGACTTCCATTGTTCTGAATACTCCACCATAAATAAAAATGCTAGAGGTGGGAAACACCAACAGAGCTGAGATTGTATACTCTTCTGACACTGATAGATTCTCATTTGGAACTGACATGAGATTTAATTGCTCACTGAGCCACTGAGTTGCCCTTTAAGGCACACCCTGCTACGTCCTGTTAATGAGCTCGGTGGCTACAGTCACTCAGTGGTAGATCTCTGTGATGTGCTCAGTGGCCATTATTATTTTTAAAGTTTTCAGGTCTAAGCTCTTGGATATGGAGTTTGCTATGCTTAAATAGTATCTGTTAGACTCAGTGATGAAATACAAGCCTGTGGTATTTGTTTAGGAGAGTAAACCAGCCTAAAGAATCAATGTGACATAATGTTTGTATAAGCCTTGCGTAAGCATTCCTTGGGAAGCTGCATCGCTTTGGCTGGGCACAGGAGCTGTCTCTGGAGTGACACATCATGCCAGAACTCACCCAATAAGTACCTCTGTTCCCAATTAGAACAGGAAATGGAGCTGCTTTTTGTACTGAGAGTCTGGGGCTTGGGTGGCAGCTGCTCCATGCTCTGTTGTGCGGGAAAAATAAAAATGCATTTTTGAAAAGTGAAATAAGAGCTTTGATGGGTAAGCCTAAAGAATATCGTTGTCTTTAGCCTATTGCTATAAAATCCTTACTCCAGGGAGAGTTTGGCTATTCTAGCATTCCCCAACCTGTTCCCTGGCAGATATCTTGGATTACAACTCCCAGCATTTCAGTTAGGAGCTTCTGAAAGTTGTAACAAATCTGGAAGGCACAAGGTTGGTGAAGGGTGGACTATGCTCTTCTCCCATATGCTATAATGTGCTTATCCGGACTGCGACTCACAAGGATGCCATTGCTACTGGCCTGCTGTGGATGCTTGTTTCCCACCCCATGCAAAGTGCAAGACAGACTTCTGAAGATGACTTGAGCAGGAGGTTGTAATCCCAGCGCCCTGTAGCTGCTGGATCTGCCATCCTTCGCAGCCACTGTTTCCTGATTGGTCATGCTACAGATCCTCTAGGCTTTTTGCGTTGCTGTTAAGCTATTGCATATATTGTAGAATGTGACATCAATTTAGAGCATTCAAACAAACAAACAAATATATTTTATGGGTAAAACAGAGGCCTAGGGTACCCTTCAAACAAAAGGATATATGCTTGTTCTCTATTCTAGTTCTGCATTAATGTTACTTGCAGAGCGCACCCTAATAAATTGGGAGAAGATCCACATAACTATTCTTTTTACCAAACATGGGGGGTTAGGGCAGTTGTGAAGTCTGATACAATCTCTTTTTCAAAATGGCACTGCTTGTGTAAGTGATTTTTTTCTTTTCTCCTTGGGGATGCTTGACCATTCTGGCCCGAGGCGGGTGGAATGAATAGTCACTTGCACATTTCAATATAGTCAGTGGAGAAGTGAGCTTTGAAGTTGCCCTTGTGAGTATGTATATTAATTGCTGAAAGCAGATGTGATTAGGATAGGAGACTGGCACCTTTCCAGAGGGAATGGTGCTTAATTATCACTGCTTACTGAGTTCTTAAGTTGTCTGTCACTTTGGGAGAAAGTGTTCAGATGTTAAAAGGGCAATAAGCGTGAAACTGCATGTGTGGGTCTTTTTTCGCTGTTTCTTGGAAAGTGATCGTATTATCAGGCTGCTTTCAGAGCAGCTGGTGGTCAGTTTAATAGAACCCCAGCAGTATCCAGCAGGGGTTTCTTCATCTCAACACTGTCCAAGTTTGAGTGGGAATGCATAATTTGACTTTGATTAAAAAATAAATAAATCCACCACTTTTAGTTGTCAAGTCTATCACAAGAACCTTACAATGGCTCCCTTAGGAATTATTCACACACAGATAGGCTTTGGTTGTATTGTTCAAGACTCAGAGGCATGCAACTGGTTAGGAACTGACATTTATTTATTTATTTTTGAAAGCATTATGTTTGTGGTAATATGAAGGATCAGTCTGTGATGTTTTGTTCAAGGATGACAGTTTGCACATGCAAATCAATGTCCATTTTATATTCAGATTGATTCACTGCATATTATCTAGGCATTTGTGGTTATTGTTATATTGTTCTGTACATTGTTGAGTTTAACACCCATTTAGAGTATTTTAACAACCACAAAAAAGGATGTTTGATTGCTCAAACACAAAGAGCTAGACACCATTCGAAGAATTAAAAAAATAATAAAAGTTCCTTCAAAGTAATCTAGTGCTGCACTGATGTTAATTCTCAGAGCTGATCCTAAGAAATTGCTATCCTAATAAAATGCAAAATCCACATATTCCATCTTTTTAATGAAATATGTGTGGGGGGTGGCTTTTTGAGGATGGTAAAGTCAGGTAACATTTCTCTTTCAAATTGGCATTGCTTGTGTAATTGATTGAGGTCTTATCAACATGTGAGTGTGATTCAGCCCTAAATAGTGGTCCAATCAACTCCTCTTATTTATAGAATCACTTCCACCTGCAGAACAGGGAGAATGGTCAATCATCTCCCACTACAGTCCCCTATGCACCCTCAAAATCAGTGTCATGTTGGGGGACCCTGTAGAGCAGGATGGGGTTGGGGCTGAAGGGAGGAGGAAAGATGGGGTAAACCCCACAGCAAGAGTGAACAATGTTTGCTTTCTCCCGGATGGATGAGCCCTTTAAGTGGATTGCCTTTTTGGATAGGTGAGTGGGGTGGAGATATCTAGCCATTAGGAATTTACTCATCAAGGTGTTTGCTTCCACTTAACAAGTAGGCTGTCTGTGTGTAGAGCTCTGAGACTTAATGGATTTCTACCCACTATGGTGATACTTATTTACTGCTATCATTTATATACCTTATTTGCTAAAAAGCCATCGAGGTGGTGCATGCCAATTCAAATGATAACACCATAACACTCTTTTAAAAGAGGGTTTTGGGGAAGGTTTGTGTGGCAGGGAGAGTTTGCTTGGCTCCCAAGGCTGCACATAAACAGTTCGTTAAAAGAGGCAGTCACTGCAGGGAACAAGGTGAAATTCCCTCCAATGGAGCTCCCATTTGGAATGCAACAGCCCGCACTGCAGCAAGGATGAGGCTGACCAGAGGGGCTGTTCAGACTTTGCATTTTGGAAAGCACACCAGGCAGGGTGGGTGGTAGAATTCTTCCCTCTAGGCTGCGTGCTGAGAGAGAGGTTGCATTTCTGAATGCTTTCCCCTCCCTTTGCATAAAAAGCTCCAAACAAAGGATCAGCAAGGCAGAACGTTATGCTAGATTCTCTCAAAAATGTTGTTCAGACTTGCTAAAATCTGTGTGTGTGTGTGTGTTTCAAATGGTCATTCATAAGGCCAGTAGGCTTGGGTTGAACTCCCCTGGAGGAAAAAAAAGCAATGTTTACTTCAGTGTGTTAAAACAGTGATTGCATCCGGGCATGCTCAGAGGCACTTTCTTTGAAACTATCCAGCCTGAAAACTGACTGACTGTCCTCACACGGCTGATGTGCAGCTTTATACTTAGGAGCACTTATAGTGATTGGTAATGAAAGGACATGGCAGAAGAAGCCTAGCATAAGAAGCTGTCTTATACCGAGACAGACCATTGGTCTGCCTACACCAGTTCATAGAAACAGAGTGAGTCAGAAGGGGTCTCCCGGGCCATCTAGTCTGACCCCCGGCTCCTGCCGGCTCCACTCATGACATGCCCACCATGTGCATGTCCAGCCTATCTTTGAACACCCTCACCGATGGGGCCTCAACGGCCTCTTGTGGAAGCCCATTCCACACCCTTGGGGTTCTAACTGTCAGGAAGTGCTTCCTGGCATCTAAATGGAACCTTGGTTCCCTGAGCTTTGCTCCGTTATAGCACGTCCTGCCTTCCTCTGCAGGGGAGAACAGGTCTCTACCCACCTCCGTATGACATCCCCTCACATACCTATATGTTGCCAACATATCCCCTCTGAGTGTCTTCTTCTCCAGGCTGAAGAGACCCAGTTCCCTCAGTCTCGCCTCATACGGCATCCCCTGCAAACCGGCCACCAATGGCCTGACAGCAGCTGCTGAGGGTTTCAGGTAGGTCCTACTTGTGTCCAGGACCTTCTGCATACAAAGCATTGCTTTACCACCAAGTGACAGCATCAGAAAACATTTCGCTTTCAAGATACATAGAAACATAGAAACAGGGTGAGTCAGATGGGGTCTCCTGGGCCATCTAGTCTGACCTCTAGCTCCAGCCGGCTCCAGTCATGATAAGTCTAGCGCTTGGAGGCTACTCAAGGGACTTAGGGTCCAAACCCCATCATTTTCCTCTTGAATTTGAATTGTGACTGGGTTGTGCATTGTTAGATGTGCAGGAGTCTGCAGTGAACCTCCTTGCAGTACAGGAGCTTTGGCTATTGGGTGGTATAAAAATTACATATAAATAAGTAGCCTCTGTTGGGTTTTTCTCCCTAGAAATTGACCTGCCTCTGAAGAAGGATGTTTTCACAACAGAGGGGACTACCTTGGAAGCCTTGCTGCGTGGAGAAGGGCTTGAAAAGAAGATAGATACTAAAGAGGAGGACACTCTACAAGAAATCCAGGTGACTGAGAACACTTCTATTGGCCTGGTCACATTTTCACTCTGCATAATACTGAAATAAGTCTTTGTAAGATGATGATGTTTAGTCTCTAACTCCACCCATCTCTTGTGACCTTTATGAAGTAATTGACATAAAAGGCAAATAGCAGCTTGCCTGTTGCATGTAACCATAAATTGCTGAACATAACCATAATCCAGTTGTTTCTCCCACCCTTGGTGTTTGTTTGTGCATGTGTTGTATGTGCACATGTGTGCACGTGTGGATGCATGTGTATGTGTGTGCATGAGAGAGGTGTATTGCTTAGATGCTGTGCCATTGTGGGAGAACAATGAAATAATATGAATTGGGAAAACCCTGCTTATACAATCAGTTACAGTGCAGTTAATTCTCCCATATTCCATAGTTAAGGAAAATACACATAAAACAGAGGAATTTGGAAAGGAGTCAGTTTGCACAAGGCATTGCACAGAAGATAGTGCAAATTAAGACCAAAAGGTCAGATAGATCAGGGACATCTTTCAGCAGACACATTTGCGTCTCATTGTGACATGAAGATGAAGTGCTGTGAAAGCATGGTTTTCTGTAAGTTTTCTTTTAAAAAGTAAATCACATTATTTTTGGTTTGACATTTGAAGCAAATTCAGAATACTGGGTATTTATTCTATTATAGAAGTGTCTTGTAATTTGGGGGACTGAAATGCTTTTGACAAGGCAAACATTTGCAAGGCTGCCTTCAACTCAGAGGGCACACTCTAAAATGCAGGCAGAAGATTTATATATATATAAACATGAAAGCTTTATCTGTGCCTTCTGAGCCTCTCCACAGCCCTTTCTAGCCACTGCTGTGGCACCAGTTTCAAATCAGTGCATCCTCCTGGGCACAGGGTTCTTCTGGGAAAGTTTTAATTGTGCCTTCACTTAGCTGCATTCGCAGGATATTAAGGGCAGGGCTACAGACACTGGTGACTTTAATTTGTACTCCCCATGTTTTCTCATCACTGCTTTGGGTTTTCCCTCTACAAAAAGTCTGCTAAGGAGGGGAGGAGGGAATATCTGCACAGTGGCTTTTGGCTGGTAGTGCCATCTGGAAGCACCTACGGGCATCACATAGCCAAATGTTACTGGCACATGATGATTTCTCTATTTCCAGGAAGAAGAAAGCTAGTTTGGAAAAGAAATGGCACCAGAGCTGCAGTTGAATTGGGCTGCAGAAGGCTGTAAACAGCTGTGGGCAAGAGAAGGATCAAATCAAAGACTACTTCTTCCCCACCCCAGCTCTACTTTTCATGCTGAACATTTTCATATATAAATATTTGGCAGTCCCTGATAGGAGGTTTGGAGATTTTAGACCATAACTGCATGGCCTGATCCATGCAGCTTGTGTATGTAGGCAAAAGAAGCACATCCCATCTTTTACATATTCTTGTGCCTCTTCTGCTAAAAATGCTCTGCTCTGCTGGGATTTCTTTTTAGTTATTATTTATTGTTTTAACTGCAGAGGGTTTTGGAAAATGATGAAAATGCAGATGAAGCAAATGAGGAGGAAGAGATGGAAGAAGATATTCCAAAACGGAAGAACAGACCCAGAGGACGGGTAGGTTGCTTTAGCCGAATGGGAGGAAGAAAATGGGGAGAGCATTTTCATATTCACACAATGTTTCTATATATCCATAGACAGACACAGAGCTTAAGGATACCTATGGCTGTAAATATATACGATTAGCAGTTATTCATTTGCATCTAATATAAACTTGCTTGCTTTGTGTTGCTCACTTGTGGGTGGTGGTTTTATTTTCTTCACTTTTGATTTTGATTTCATCAACCAGCTTAAAATGAAGCCATAACACAACACCAGCAGCAACAAGAATTGCACACAATATGCAGACGCGTCTTTGTGCTCATAGGGTAACTTTGATTTTTTGGCTTGTGTTTTATCTGCATTTTCAGATGAACCAAAGCTTTATCTTTATCTTTTCCCTTGGCAGTTTCAGTGCAGGGAAGAGCTGGCTATTGATCAGTGTTCTCCGCATGGTTCTGCAGCTGGAGGCTCTCAATAATCAGGTCCCCTGGCAAGAAACCCACGCAGCGTGAAGGCAGGCAGCTCCCCTCCCACTCTTCATGCTGGCTGGCTGCTCTGGCTCTCCCTGCTCTCTGGAGTGAACTGCTGGAGGCTCTCAGGACTGAGTGAACAGCAGACCCAACAAGCCTCCAGTAGCAGATTCACAGCAGGGAGGTCTTTTGCATTAACCAAATGTGCACAGACTCCTCTGTACTCCTCCATCAATATCTTCCCACTAAATGGCCTGTATAGGGTGGGGGGGTGGGAGGCCACCTATGAGCTACTGCACTGTAATGTGCTATAGGCAGAATGCAGGAGGGAGCTGCTAGAGGCAACGGTAGAAAGAATCTGAGATGGGGGAGAAAAATAAACCACGGGCTTTATTTTCATCCTCCCATGCAATCTCCTCCTCCTCTGTTGCTCAGTCTGCTCTTGAAATCTCTGTCCTCTCAGCTCCTTTGTCCACTCTCAGATTTTCTCTGGCTGCTGCTGGCTTTGAGTTCATGTACACATAATGCAGAAGGAGGGGTATATCAGAGAGACGTATAGCTCCAAGTATGCATGCTGTCCCCATCCCCAAAATCTGCCTGTGTGCTGGCCCTCAGTGCCCTGTGCGTCCAGGTTTCCCGGGCTGAGTGGCATGATCTGAAGGGGCATCCTGCTGCTCATGTTGGCATGAACACAAGTAGTACACGTGTCACAAAACTCAGGTTGCTGTTCAGGATGGTAAGGCTGGGATCGAGAAGGCAGGAACTCGTGGACGGGGGCATCGGAGGCAGGCCAGTAGGAGTGAGCCCATTGCCCTGACAGGCTCCGAAGTCTCGCAAATCTGGAAGAACACCCGTGTAGGGCTTATGTGCCACGTTGGCAGACCTGCAGCTTTAAATACCTGTCCGCCCAAGTCACTTGTAAAGTAAGGCAGGGTGGCTTGCAATTAAAAGAGTCAAGGAGGTGAGCTCAGCTAGAAGAAAAGTTCTTGGGTGAGGGGAAACAGATTGGCAAGCCAGAGTGGGCTCAAGCCCACTTGCCTGCATACCCACTTGTTCTGCGTGCCAACATTCTTACTTCACAAAGGATGAGTGTTAAAAGTAAGGTGGCCATGTATCCTACTAAACAGAGCACAGTCCTCTGTTTCAGGGGTGGACTTATAAGATCACTGGGTGATTTCTGGTAGATCATTCTGACTTGTTTAATATCAGCATTCAAGGTACTTATAAATGTCTGTGACCTTTAGTAATTCAGATGCAGATTTGTACGTAAGAGTGTGTGTGTGTGTGTGTAAGTTATCCCAGTATCTGCTTTATGGGATGCCCTGTGTAATTGACTCCATTCCCTAACTCCATTTTGCATCTGGTTTCCCCATCTCCCGTCCATTGTTTTTTAATCTCCTGCATCTTCTATAGTTTGGTCCGCAGAGGAAAGTTTTTTGCTTGTTTGAGAATGAGATTTTCTGACATTGGATGTATTTGTGAATGATTTTGTTTGATCAAAACCTGCCATACTCCAGCTTGCCCCCAATTTTGGAAGGTTTTCCAAGTAATCCTATGAGAGCACTTAGAAGGTTGTTGAATAACTGTCTCCAGTTATTTTGTGACTTCATGATGGGCTTTCTACGCAAGACTTTATTGATGGCTCTGCTTTTAGATTCTTCATGGGACTGAGATCAACTCCTTTATATGTACCTTTGTGGAGGCAGGGTGTTCCTTCTCTGTCATTCTAGATCTGCAGTTGCACAAACACTAGGCAGCACTATGGTGTAAGGGAATTGCAGAAAGACTCTAGGGAAGGGCAGTACAACTTTTCGTACTTCGAGGGCTGCATGAGGACTTTGACGTGGAACCCAGGGGCCGCACAATGAATTACATTTACATACCATAAATTAAAGTGTTCAATACATATATTCATTGAATATACACAATTAATATATTTCATGAACCATTAAATGGGGGAGAAAACCATCAAGAGGTCTCTGCAGAGATCAGAGCCAGCTCCTCCTCCCACCACAGCCCAGCACAATAACTGCTGCTCTGGGGACCCGTCCCTTTCTTTCCTTTCTTTCTGCAAATATTCAAAGGAACAGCTAGAAGGATGTGCTAAAGTTGGACTGGTCAGAATAGCTTGAATGTTAAACCAACAGCGCTGTATGACAAAGGCTCAGGTTTTTTAAAGAAAACTCTGGAGAAGGGGGGAAAAAAAGATGAGTGTTATGTGTTGCACATGCAACTGAAAACCAAAGGGATGCATGCCAGGCAGTCAAACGACACAGACATGGAAAGCAGCCTTTGCCACATGAGACCTCTTGACTATTCTTTTTGCACACTACAGGAGCCCCTTTCAGGGTTTCAGGTAGGGGTCCCTTCCATCACCTGTTCCTTGATCTCTTTAACTGGATGTCAGGAATAAACCTGGGTACTTGCTCTTCCCCTGAGCCACAATCCTTCCCCATCTCAGTTGTGCTTATGCTCCTGAGACCTACCCACTGCTTTCAGAGAGAACACAGTTCGAACATTTATTTTACCAAGCCGATGGAATCATGTGGTGCCTCCACAGAGTAAAATATTCCTTTTATTAGCCCCCACCTCATGATCTCCATATACTGTGTTATGATTTAAGGTCTCATTCAGAAATGCCCCCCACCAACATTAAGTTAATTAATTAATTAAGAGTTATAACTGACCTTATGCTGAAGGATTTGGGAGGTTAATAATTATGGAGTTAGCGTGTATGTGTTTACTTAGAGGTAAGTCCCACTGGGGTTTACTCTCAGGTAATTGGGTATAGTATTGCAGCCCTGAAGGCATCAGTCCTACATTTATGCCCATTCAACCTACTTTTAAACTTAATCGCTGAAATCAGAAATGCCATACTGTGCTTCTGAAACATGCTCTGGGTTTAAGTTTACTGCATCTCTATAGAGAAGGAATTAGTAATGGGGGGCGGGGGGTGGATACCTAGAATGATTCTTTGCACAAACCCTTGCAGATTGAATCTGGTATGTAGATAGTGTCATTAAGAGATTTGGATCTCTGGGTGACCTGTAAGTTTTTTTGACCCAATAATGTAGCAATAGCAAGTGAATGACAAGTTTTAAAAGAACAAAAGCACCTCTGTCTTAACAGGCCTCCTTTGATTGCTTAGGTCTTGTCTTTTGTGTTCCTCAACCATAGAATATGAGTATTCCTCAGTTGTCTTTGATCAGGACTTGTGCAGCTCTGGTGATCTTTTTGGTTTTGTGCTAGTATGTAGTATAGAAACACTAATATACAGTTGCACTTATATAGGTAAGCTACCTCACTGTATGGCCCATTGGCTGCAGTAAGTAATTACCTCTTCCACCATTTCCCAGTTGGTCCTGTTTGGTAGATCTTTAAATTCTTGTAAAACACAAAGATGTCAGAAGCCTGAAAACTGCCCATCCTGCCCTCTAAAGTAAGTTGATTCTGGAATTCAGGGGAGGCTGGTCCCAATACAGAAGCTTTGGTGTTCCCCGCGCCTCTTCTTATCCAAACAATGCAATTGTACAAATGACCTTGTACTTTTGGCTAGCATAAATTATTCTTTTCCTGGATCTGATTTAGGCCACGATTGCACCAGATTTTCTGAAGTAGCCTAGATCTTCTGAAACAATGGAACTAGATTTGGTTGTTCTGGAGCACAAATGAGGGAATAAAGGATACTGCAACAGAAATAACATAGGAGAATGATTGCACTGGTCATTCCAAATTTGTGCACGTCCTTTCCTTTCCTACAGCATGATTTCATTTTTAATCTTGGGCCCCTTCATCTGTCCTTCTGGCAAGCATCCCTGTTTGGCTCCATTTGAGTGCTCCAAGGCTGCTTTGCTGAAGCTTTTCAGCTATATACATCAATTCCTTGCTGTATAACCGCAGGAGGCTGAAGGCAGCCGTGGATGACTGAATGCCACATATTGAAGCACTGACAGCAAGCACGTGGCATTCAGGTTTGTGCCTCTGGGGTGGCTGTCTATTTGCCAGGCCCCCTGAGGCCAGCTATGAAATTATGGATATGTTGGTACAGGGATCTGAAGGCCAGGGACATATGGATTTGCAAAGAGAGTTTTAAGACCATTTTCTAGAAAGAGGGAGGAAAGCAGCAAGGCTTTCGATTCTGAAGTGTGTATTATACACTCCAAGAACATCAGTGTTCAGTTTTGATTGTGTATGATGCAAATAGTATATTTCATAAACTGTGTAATCCTAAACTTGTTGTTCGGTGTGTACATGCCTCAGCGACTGCCATTTTGAAAAAGGACAGAACAAAATGAAAATGAAAGTATGTGTTTGACTGGGATTTTTTTTTTTCCGGGAACAGCACCAGCGATTTCAATTTAAGTATATCTCAAATAAATAACTAGTTTCTCCCAAATATGTAAAGGTTTTTAAAATATGCATAAACAGCTGGATATTAGTAATTTAGTAGACATTTACATTTACTAGAAGCAGAATCCAACCTTGTCAGTTCATGCGCGTCAATCAAATCATGCTAATAGAACTGACCACAGCTCAGCGGGAATACTTTATATCACAGCCTCAAATGGCTGCTTCTGGAACGGGGGAAATTAGCAGAGCTCCCTTCTGCAAGCTCCCCTAATTTGCCCCATTCCAGAAGTGCTAGTCTGGGTTATTTTTCAGCTCCTGTTGTACTGGTGATCATTCTTGCTAGTGCAAGGGCAGTGATGGATAGTGTTCTCTGGATTCTCAAAAGATTTTTTTACAAAGTTCCTTTTCAAGGTTCTGGAACAAACTTAGTAGTCATGTGGTAGGAGGGAAGTTTCTCCTGTAGATCACTAATTGAATACAAAGTGGAGTAAGAATTAAAGGTCGGTTTTCACAATGGAAGGATGTAAGCAGTGTGGTCCCCCAGGGCCTGTATTGTGACCTGTGCGTTTCACAAATGATCTTGAGTTAGGGATAAACAGTGAGCTGACCAGGTTTTCTGACAACAGCAAATTATTTTGGATGGTTAAAACAAACATATATTGTGAAGAGCTCCAAAAGGATCTTTAACGATGGGGAAAATCAGCATTAAAATGGCAAATGTGCCATTAAACATTTCTAAGTTCACTTACAGGCTGATGGTGTGCAAACTGGCAGAGGCTAACCAGGACAAGGATCTAGCTTGATGAAAACACTGACCCTGCACGTGGCTGTCCTGAAAAAGGAACTTTCACATTGGCAATAATTAGGAAAGAAATAAAAAAAATAAGACTGCCATGCTGTGTACATTTATGATAACTGCAATTTGGGAAGGACAATGCAAAGCTCGAAATGGTGCAGAAAGACAAAGGGGCTGGAGCAATGCCCCTATGAGGAAAGAGTTCAACTTTTTGAAGCTTGTTAGCTTAAAGGCTTAGGGAGGACATGACAGAGATGTAGAAAATTATATATCATGTGGAAAAAGAAATGTTTCTCTAATAGCACTACTGTTGTTGTTGTTGTTGTTGTTGTTATATTTCTATACCACTGAAGAGCTGATGCTGTTTGGGTGGTTTACAACAGCACCTAAAATACAATTAAAATGTATAAAATATAGATGCAAAATACGCCTTCAGATCACTATCCCCATGTCCTTCTGAAAAGACCAAACCCAGAGTGTTCCCTCCTGCATGCATACTCAGTCATCCAGTGAAGCTGAATGGTGGGGGATACCAGGCAGACGCAGACTGAATATTTAACTATAGTACATTCAGTGTCATAAGATGCGGTGACAGGAGCAACTTGGGCTTTTTGACAAATTGATGGAGGATAAGGCAATGTCTACTAGGTATCATGGCTATGTATTGCCTCTAATATCAGAAGAGGCCTCTATACTCGTTGCTGGAAAACATGCAAATGAAGATGCTATTGCACTCTTGTGGCCCTGATGTGGACTTCCCATAGGAATCTGGTTAACAATTGTACAATGTTCTTAATAACTTTTGTTTCTTATAGGGTGTTCTTTCAGGATAGCTTTTAATTAGGCCACTTCACTGCTAACTCCTGCTTGAACCCTTGCTAAGTTTTAGGCATGGCAAGAAGACTGAGCCTGATTCACAAAAAAGGCACCATGTAGTTTCTACATAAAAACCCACTATCCTACTATCTTAAACATGTTTATTCAGAAGTAGATCGTGTTCTTTTGTTATATTTTGGGATTGCTTGAGCAATTAGATACTTTCTAAATTTTTCAAGGAATGATGCTTAATTCCTTGAAATTACATAACACTGGTGGGCACATTTCTAAAAACACTTTCCTAAACCTATTTAGGCCAAACCACTAAGACCTTGATGCTGTGATGGAGACCTCTACTTCTGCGGTGTGCCCAGGCATGGAGTGCCTATGTTTAGTGTGCAGGTTTCCATATTTGTGCACGTGTTCCATATAAAGATTCATTGCTGGCTATCAGCTGACTGAAGAAATGGGAATGGTTCTTGATTCCAACATTGCTCTTCTAGGTCTCTTGGAAAGTGTGTGTGGCGGCGGTGGGGGGGGGGGATACATTGATGCTCATGGATCTCTAGTGGCTCATTTACTTTGCCCTCAGGCAACTCATCCTTGCATGTCTGCCTGAATAATTGCTTGCCTGCTTCCCACTGCTGACTGACCACTAGGTCTGGCACTGAAACAGTGGCCAGGCAAGCAACTGCAAGATGCTCAGTAGAAGCCTCTGAGATTGTAGCTGGTCCTGGTCAACACATGGAGAGGTCAAAGGTGGAGTGCTACTGAACTCCCATCTTACCAATGTGGCGAGATACATGAGAGATGCACTGGTACTTAAATGGTCCTTGTGTCAAGGCTGGCAGAAGATGCGAAAGGTGTCCCCTCTGATACCGGTATGTGCCCCACCCAGCAGCTTTGCCAGCAGTGAGTGGCAGCAAACTGCTGAAGCCATGATCTGTGGCAAATGCTTGCCATTTTGAGATTCCTATAATGCACTGATGTAGCATTTTTGCGAAGTATTGGGAACTCTGAAAGTGGGGGTTTCCCAGTTGCCCATGGTTGCTACTTGACCAGTGAGTTATGAATCCACTATATAAACATCAACTGTTGTGCAAATGTGTAACACTACCTTTGTTGGCAACAGAATAGGATTTCTCTACTTCTTTACAAAATTTTTGGTTATTTTGCTAGAAGTTTTTGAGATTTATGTTTTGGGGGGAAATGGGAAGGTATCTGTTGCATTAATGCTTTGGTTTCATTCCAGGCCCGAGGCTCTGGAGGTGGCAGGAGAAGGGCTGACGTTTCTTCTATGGATGACCATGATAAACCGTATGTTTGTGACAGTAAGTAGTCCTAAGATCTTCCATTTTGCCTTTAGCTTCATTCAGCTACTTCATTCAGAAAACAGAATGTAATATATTCTTCTCCCCCACCCCCCAAAATTTCACTGCTTTATGGCTTGCTTATCTGCTACTACCATAACTACTTCCTGTTGCTATTTTTGCATGGGTGAGTGGAAATGAAACCCTCAGAAAGAGCCCACATTGTTTTCTGTTCTTATAGGCTCATCTCTCTCTCTAAATTTGCTTCACTTGTCTCTTTCTATGGCTTTGTCGCTTCCTCCATCCCATAAGTCATTCTTTTCTTCTTTTTCTGATGGGCCAAATTAAACATTATATGGGAGATATGTGTTAAAGTTTCTCAATGTTCATTTTCAAATTTAAAAAAAAATCCATTGGAATCTGCCAGTTTGAGAAGATTGGTGTGATAGGACAGAAGTGACTGCTTCACCCTCTTCTGTCTGATCATTTCTTGATCAAAATCAGCTCCCCACACATTTTTCTACCGATTTCTAGATACAGAGATATATTCAAATTGGTGGAAAAGAAATTTGTAGATTGGAAATTATTTTGAGCAGAAAAGTGTCAGGAGGAGAAACAAGCAAAAGAAACCAGTTTCCTCATGCTGCTCAACCTATCAAACTGCTTTAAAAACAAACACAAATGCTATTGTTTGTGTAAACACCCACAAAACATCTAGTTTAGTCTAACAATTACAAACCAATGCAGGCCTTGGATATTTAGGTCTTTCATACTTTACTATGGTTCTCTTTTTGAAAAATCTCTAAAGACTAAATCTCACACTACCCTTTCTCCATCTCTGACTTTGATATTGCTCTTATTCAAATTCTATGACTAAGGTATGCTTGGGTGTGAAGCTGTAAACATCTAAACATGATCAGGTCCTAATCTGCTTGGACAGGGTCAGGTAACTTAAGTTCAATTGCAAGAGCTATTTTTAAACAAGGCAATGTAGACTACAGTCTATAGAAATGTCTTCTGGTTGTGTCTGTCAAGAAGTGCTCTGCTGGTAAGAAATTACTCCAAGAATACACACTAATTGGTAGAGTTCATTTATCTAAATGACCATTCAGTTGCTATCCTGTAGACAGCATCCAATCCTCACCTCAATTTTTGGTGTCTGCTCCAGACTGTTTAAGATCAGCACATGCAAGGCGTTCTTGGCAATAGTCCTGTATAAATAAGCAAGTTAAATAGTGATATTTTATGTACCAATCAGGTATAGTGGACCCAGGGCTCAAAGGGATGTGATAGTAGTACTGTTTGATGATCAAGGATGCTGACATTATCTGACACTTTCTTCAGAATTCCTGGTTCCCTCTGAGCTAGTTTCAGTCTCACCATATCTAGCAGAGCAGGGGATGAATATTTTTTAGTGAAAACATATAGTTGTGAGCTATCTCTGTTGTAATGCAAAGTGGTGTTGTTGTTGTTAATGATGATGATGTTATTCTATACCCCCCAATAGCCAAAGCTCTCTAATTTAGGGTGGTATTGAATGAGCAAAGAATGTTCCTTAGCTTTATAAAAGACCTGTTTCTGCTAGAGATAAAAACTGCCAGGTTTGGTTTGCTGATATTGATCCCCACAGCTGCCTGCAGTTTGGCATCTCCATGGGCCAAATGAGTTCGCAGACTGTCATGATGAGCACCTGCAGTTCAAAATTTACTACCGCACCAGGTGCATGACTGGGCCCTAGCACAAACAGCTGAAGATGTTGAGCAAATGTTCTGTCTTAACCTACTTTCCGTGATAAGGAAAAAAGACAAGGTGCAGTAGGAAAACATAGGAGGGCTACGCATGCAAGCCCTAGTCATCTGGAAACACCCTGCACCCCACAACGTATCATAGTGGAATAAAACCTAGTCTGGAAATAGCTAAAGCATTTTTTAAATATATACCATAGCTATGTGATATATTTAAAATAAGACTAAAGATGCAGTCTTATGCACATTTAGACAAAAGGTCCTACCACTCTGGGGCAGGCTGGGATTATAGGACTTCTATTTAAACATTCATGGGTTTGGCCTCTTAGTGTTGCTTTGATTATTGACCATCTTACCCCTTTCTTGATAACAAACATCACCCAGTATTTCTTAAACCTGTCTTAAAATGGATATGTATCTTATTCAGAAGTATTTTGTTGAATTCTCAGCTGTACTAAGCACTTTTCAGAAAGAAGACTCTCCTCACACCATTCAAGGGTATTTCATTCTTTCAAAATAGTTCTTGCACAACTTGATAACTGAGGCCTTAAAGTGACCATTAGATCAACAAAAAATGCTCCATGTCGTTGACCCGTAATCTTGGGGTTTCTCCATACAAGGCATTTTTGTGCATTCTTGTTCATTCACTCACAGACATTTGTGGAGCACTTTTCGTGATGCTGTCATGCTCCAGAGTAGGGATGCGTGAGGAATCTGTTTTGGGGCTGGGAATTCCCTGGACTTGGCTCCTCAGGCTCTGGTCTACTTTGATGTGGCTGTGAGTCTGTGTTCCTGGTGAAGGCACCCAGTAGCCCTGTGGCATTTGCAGGAATGGAGCCCTGCACAAATGCTGCACAAGCAGCTTTCTCCTCCATACCACATCCAGCAGCCATTGCTTGTGCAGCTGCACAGGATGCAGAAGAAGGCTGTCAGTTCTCGAACTTCATTCACAGTCCTCCTCTGGGCTTGGCTTGCTTTCCAAGACAGGGCCAAACATGACATGAAGACGATGGATGCTAAAGGGATGGCTTCTGCAGAGCTTCAGTGGATCCCTGCTCCAGAATTTCCTCTGTGTTTTCCTTTTTTGTAGGTATTTGTAGAGTTAGGAAAGTTTGGTATTAAACTTTTAAATTGTGATGAACCACAACAAAAGCCTTTGTCGAAAGTTATAAATCTGCTGCCATGCAGCTATACTAGTGTTTGTTTAGTAGCATAGATAGAAAGGCAGAGAAATACAAACCTAAAGGAAAAAATGCATAGTGTGAATTTTTCCTCCTGCAATGAAAATGGAAGATGTCTCAGTGAAGCAGCAGGTAAAACCCCTCATGCAGAGTAGCCCTTTATGTCCTTTTGGTATTGGACTCCATTACTTTGAATCCAGAAGCTGCAATTTGCATGCCACCAGGGTTGCATTCAGTGTGGGTTAAGGTGTTGGTTGTAGCACTATAGCTTGTGTGATAGGAATAACTCACCAGCATCCACTGAGAATCAAATGGTTCCCAGGACCTGGTCAGTCTTCTTCCAAGGCCTCAACTCACATGCCACACATATTCCACTAAGGGATGTCATATGTTGTACGTATCTGTATATGTGTAAGAAACACACCCACAGAGACAACCGAAATGAGGAAACCCCCTCAGCCTGAGATCCAGTTTCAATTTTGGAGAACCTATCAGGGACTGCATTCCAAGAGTGGGTGGGTCTAAACACAAAGGTGGTGGAACAAAAATGATAGCAAAGCAGTTTAAAGTTCTTACTGCCAGCAACTAAGCCACAAGATTTAGTAATGGCAAATTTGTGGAGTATGCGCCTATCAATAGCCACTATTGTCAGAGGCAGTCTGTCCCCATATCAGTGCCTGGGAATCCTGTGTGGGAATTTCTATTGCACTCATGTTCTACGTGTGGGTTTCCTATATTAGAACAAACTGTGGGATCAGAGAAGTGGATTAAATAGGTCCTTGGAATGATCCAGTATGGCTCTTAGTATATTCGTATGTGCTTTTTTTACAGCTGGAAGATGCAAAATTTGGTACCTCTTTTTATAAAATGCTCAGATACTGGGCCCAAGGCTCTATCTTTTTTGTGGGGCAAGGACAGAATTTTATGCATATGTACATACTTACACTTGACTAGAGATGCGTGTATTTTATACCTAGGTATCCAGATCCAAGTATAAAATGTATTTGGAACTGCACTTCTGTGTAGAGCTAACTTCCTGGTCAGAGAAATATGAATGAAAGCCTACTTGTTTGGCAAATGCTTCAGCAGCAAGGCAATTTGTAAGGTGACGTTTGTTGTTACCTGATGTTTCATTCTCTGCCTACTGCTCTTTGTGTCTCCTCTGTTCACAGTCTGTGGCAAGCGCTACAAGAACAGACCGGGACTGAGCTACCATTATGCTCACACTCACCTTGCCAGTGAGGAGGGGGATGACGCTCGGGAGCAAGAGACACGTTCTCCACCTGTCCACAGAAATGAAAATCACAAACGTGAGTAGAATGTGCATTTTGCCTTTCCCCACTCCCGTTATGGAATGCTCCAGTCCCCCTTCTACCCTTCCTCCACTAGCTTCATCCTTGCATTTCAGCAGTAGCTACAATTACTTTGCTCCTATGTGAATTATTGGGACCTGGGCTTTTAGTGGAGCTAATCAACTGCAGCTTTCCCAGGTGCTGAGCTCAGCTAGTCAAAAATTCAGCTCAAACCTCACATTAACTCTGCAGCAGGTCACTTTCCATCACTAGTCAGGGGGCAGGGGGATGGAAGATATGTCGGGGAAAGATAAGGAAAGGGGGAACCCAATTGCCCTTGTCATGCAGACTCATCGTGGTTAGCTCTGAGAACAAGAAAGCACACTCTTTTTCTTTCTTCTGCCTTTTCTTTTATGTCCTCTTTTTGTACATCTACCGCACATTCCCTACATCTTTCTAAACCCTTACCCAGCATATGTTATGATTGCCATAAATACCAAGGGAGCAAACAAGAGGCAAGAGTGTAGGCTGAATACAAGATCTATTCACAGAGGGTGGATCTAATAATATTTTCTGCTCCAGAAAATCTCTGGGTGTCTCAGATGGTAATGATACTCCATCCTGCTCCTTTTAAGGTAGCGGCTGAGAGGATGCCAATTCTATAGTTTGCAGGCCCTTGTTTTAATAAGCACATTTCCTTTAGACATACTGGAAACATAAAGTCTTGTGGAGCACTTTTAGAGAAAAATACTGTAAGAACTGTTTACCACAAGAGAAGTTATTATAAGAGATATGGAAGTAGTATTGAGAGAAAATAAAATCTTTGTTAGCATAAAGCCCTTTATCATTAATATTAAGAATAAATGTAGAAGTAGCAAGGTATAGTCCCCTTCAAAGCAGCATAACCACAGTAGCTTCTAAATATGTTTAAGGTTTAGCTTCTCACGAAGCATTGGGTATTGCTGGCCTGCTTTCGGAGGCAAGATGGTAAGCTAGACTCAGTGACTATTGAATTACATTAATTATAAGAAATATAAGAGGAGCCTGAATGGACTGGAACAGGTGGGCTGTCTATTTTTAAAAACAACAAACACATAATTATTTATTGTTAGGGATTTTTCTAACAAAATATTAAGAAAATAACAAAAATATTTATTAATTAAAAGCCCACCAAATCTGTCAGCATGTTACAATCAAACATAAATGTAGACAAGAAACCATATCAAATACACAATCTAATTAATCATATAACTAAATAATTAAATACCATTGAGATTGTTCAAATGTTCTCACTATAATATTTATTAACTTGTTACCATATCAATTTACTCCATTAATTTATTACATAAATCCTTCAAGAGACTTGCATCATATCAGACTGTCCTTTTAAATAGACACTCTAATTGCTTCTTCAACACTGAAAAAAGATGTATGATTGCCATACTTTACATATACCTCATTCTTTGCTCCCTACATCACAAACCATGTCAGAATCAGCATGGTCATCCCTGCCTAGCCTTTCATCTTCCACTGCTCTTCTCCTTCTTGCCATCTTTGAACTGGCAGAAGTCCTATAGCTGTCAACAAATGGTAAAGCACCTCAGCTGCCTAGACTCTCTTCTAAATAGCCCAGTCTAAAGCTGTGGCTGAGAAACTCTGGCCCTACAGAAACTGTGGAATTCCCATCTTTCCTGACCATGGTGGCCAATGAGAGATGAAATCCAAACCTCTGACGGACCAAAAGTTCCTCACCTATAGTCTAAAGGGACCTGGAATCCTGTGATGTTTATGACTTTTTCATATTATCTCATTGCATTTATTTCATATAGGTGCTTTCCAATAGCTGAAGCTCTCAAGAAGTTTATAGAAATCAACACCTTAAAATATGTTATAAAAATCATATACAAAGAAACATTTAAACAGGCAACAGAGAGGGAGAGATACATACATATAATCTAAAACAATTTTGCACAATCAATGGCAAGAACAATCTAGGAGCTGATTAAAATCTAATTATATGCTGTGAGATGCCTGAGAGGAAGGAGATTTGGCACCAAAAGGTTAAGCATGTTAGGTGCTAGACAGGCCTCATCAGAGATCAGTCCAAAACTGGGTGACTACCACTAAGAAGGCCTTTTTCTCTGTTGCTGCCTTCCAAGCATTCTTCAGAGGAGGCACTTGGAAGTCGCCTTAGATGATGAATGTACTGTATGGGTGGAGGTGCTCCATCAGGTATTCAGGATCTGATCTATTAAGGCACTTCCACCATATATAGCACTGGGTAATATTATGATGTAATACTCCATTAAATTGGCTCATTGTGTGTACATTCAAATATTGTCTGCTGTCTTCTTATCCATATTCTTGCTCAGATTAATGCAGTAGGAGCTTTGTTTTAACAATTATAATTCTAGCAGTAGCTGCTTGCATATTTAGGATAGCAGAGCCAATATATATGGAAAGTACCAGACTGGGGAAGATTGCTCTAAGACCATAAAATGGGTGCATCTTCAGAGATGCCATGGTGTTTCTCATCCCTGCTTGCCACAGAGATGGGATGACTGGGTAGAAGGCTCCCCAGAAAGAATGGATTGTATCCTCCCTGTTGTGTCTGGATCTCATGATGAGTGAAAACACAGAGGGAGCCACACAGAATTCAAGAAAACTACCTAGTGGGGGCATGTCAGGCGAATTCTTCACCATAATTCCTTGTGGCGTTGGACGTGCTATAGACAGGATGCCTTTGCAGGAAGCTGCTTGTCTTTCACCTGACCTCACCCTTAGGCTAGGCAGTGGCTTAAACCCATATTAATTCCTTTAACATTTGTTAATCACTTTGAGATTCAGATACTTAAGTGGAAAGGTGTTTTTTTTTTTTTTCCTTTGCAAAGGACTGGCCGCTACTCAGTGTGGAAAAGAAGTGGCAGAAGCAACACAGAAGTCCTTGTATGTACCCTCTGGTGAGAGAAATGCTCAGACTGCTCAATTACAGCAACGCCCCAGTTTGTTGGGGACAGTTTGAACATGAATGGGTATTTTTCCACTGCTTGCTTGCTTTATTTATTTATTTCATTTGTATACCACCCAATAGCTGAGGCTCTGTGGGAAGTGAACAAAAGTCAACACAGACACACAAATTTAAAACAGCATTAGATTCATGGTTTGAAGAAAAGCAGTAATCTGACTGAGCAACAAGATGTTCTTCAAAATGGGGCAGAATTGTACATTGTTCTCCAGTGCACAGTACCTAAATAAAGTGACTATATTACTACTGATCATTGTAAACTGCTCTGGAAACCTTTCTATCTGAAGGGTGGTATGCCAGCAGCATTTCTGGCCTTTCCCCTTGGCCCAATATCAGTTAAGAACCTAAGAATATAAGAAGAATCATGCTAGATCAGTCCAAGAGTCCATTTAGGTCAGCATTTTGTTCACATAGTGGCCAACTAGCTGCCCATGGGAAAACACCACAATCAGGACATGAGTTACAATCCTTTTCTCAAGGCCAAACCCAGGACTCTGGATTGCTGAGAGAGGAACAACCCAGAGTTTTAATCAAAGAACATGCCAGTTGGTTAAGATTCTGGGTTGTTCATGCCTTAACCACCCAGAGTTCTGGGATCAGACTTCATGGGAAATAACCCAGAAAGAAGGCATTCCTGAGTTGTCTAACAAAGTGGAAATTGGTGAGCAGGTGGCAACCAACATGCTCCCTTCCATACACACACGAGCAAACCATAGTTTGTTTCATTGTGTGAATGGGGTTATTACATGCCTTAGCAGAGGACTGAGCAATGAAAGGCCATTCTCTACAAGAAGCTCAGCACTCTTCATTGCCGATCTCAGACAGCTTTTTACTCCAATAGAAGGGTTGAAATTAATACTTAGGGTTGAAAACAACCCTTCCCTACTCCCATGAAGGAAGGAAGGAAGGAAGGAAGGAAGGAAGGAAGAAGGAAGGTAGGTAGGTTTCAAGTAGAATTATGATCCCCTCCCTGGAATAGGCTACTTCCTGATTTATGGTAACACTCCTAAGAGATGCCCCAAGTCATTTGGTACCCAGGGTAGAAAATTCAAATTGTATCCCCTGTGGTGTTATTTTTTAAAATTTTTAGATTTTTTATTGTTCACGTTGAACACAGAGTGCTAAGGCTGCAAATATTATAAATGAAAAGCAATCCATGTCAGTAACAATAGCTCTAACACTGTGGGAGAAGAGGAACAGCTGGAAACATAAACACAGCCTAGAGGGGCCAAAAATACCACACAAAATTTAGGCCAAAGACTTGCTAAAGCTCAACGGTCTTCAAACAGCTGTATGAAGCTATGCAATTCAACTAACAGGAAGAGGGCTAGATGAATATTTTAGTATAAGCCCTGCTGAAAAGTAATGGCCAGTGCACAGCCATTTGGGAGCAGGTTAAAAGGAACTGGGCCTATGTTGTGTCTTAAGAACAGCTTTTCCAATATCCACAGAGATTGCCAGAACAGCCAGCTAAAATGACAGGCCACATAAAAGGGTTTCTCTCCCTGACCTCACTGTATGGGCAGGATTATAAGGAAGGAGACAATCCTTTAATTGTCCTGATCCCAAGTCATTTAGGGCTTTAGTACTGAGAGCAAGTGATTTAAATTGCACCTAAAAGCCTGTGCAGTCCGTATGAAGGTAGAGTAATATGTTCTGAAAAATCAATTCCTGTCAGTACTGTCCTAGTAGCATGTTGTGCCATGTGAAGCAGGGCCCAGTGACAAGAGGCCCTGGCATGGCTGCTCCTCTTCACCACTGCGACCTGCTTGTTCCCTTACCTCTTGCTCTGGTCTTGACAACAGTGTCCTTGAGAAAGAAGAGCCATAGATGCAGCTGCTGCTTACTCACTGGACCTATGCCCATCAAGCAAGCAATTGTTAGTGAGGAGGAGGAGGAGCAATAGCAGCTGGTGACCATGGTGGTGGAAGGTAGATTCACTGAGGGAAGGGAATCTATTTGAAGGTGGTATGCCCAAAGGCCTCCAAAACCTGGAGCCAGCTATTGCATGTGATCAGCATCCATGCAAAAGCTGGACATGGTTTGGACTTGCATGTGTTGATTTTTTTTTTTAATGAGTAGGCCTTACATCAATGGGAAGCCCCCATGCAATGCTTATACTGGGCTGGGCTGACAATCACTATCTGTTCCCCTACCTTGTGCAGCAGGTGGCATTATTAGAACTGGCAAAAAAGCACAAACTGGGGGCTTGATTTTGCATAATGCACTCAGCTGATTCCTCCCCCCACCTCTGTCTCTTTGGATGTTTGTTTACAGCCTAGAGCTCAGTTCTGAGACCTCCCCTCTTTCACTTGGCAGGATCTAATTTATGCTGCCATCCATCTTCCATGTGAATGCTAATTGTTCCTATTGCTAATACGCAGTCGTTAACTGGTCCCTTTGTACACAGGGATAAAGCAGGGAAAGCCAGCCTGCTGGACCCTTCCGCTCCCCCAAGTGCTGCTGGGCACATGTTGTGAATCAGATTTGACAGATCTACAATGTCAGAAGGGCGGGATTTTGAGAATCCTCATTTCTCTGCATGGCTCTTTGGAAGAGAAAGGTGGTGGTAGTGGGGATGTTAATCCATACAGCTAATCCGCAGCCTTCTGAAATGGATAGAAAGGCCAGAAGTGCAGTAAATAGCAGGCAGTGCTTATTTCCCTAACTGCATGGGACAAAATTGCAAGATGTGGTGTGATGAGGGGAAAGATGGCAGACATACGAGATGGCAAGAGAGTATGGCCTTCTCGCTTATTCCATCCCTTCTAGCTGCTCAGTTTCTTCTGTTCAAGCCTCTCATCACAGCCATATCTGTGTAATAACAGGCTTGCTGGTGCTGAATCTGCCAAAACTGGATGTAGATAGGGTGGCCACATAGGGATGGCCAAAAGCAGGAACAGCATCAACAAAAACTAGGACTTGAATTTGCTTAAAATGTGCCTGTTTGAATTTATAGGTATAGAAGTAGATTTCGAAATAATTATTGTACATAGACATGCAGTACATCTCACCATAGTGCAGAAGACTGTGAGCAGGTGACGTGTGTCCTAGTGCTAACTCTGATGTGCAACAGTCCTGGTAGTTCTTTATCTATAAAAGGGAATTAGACAGGACAGCCCTTCAAATGTCAAAGAATCCTTTGGCTGCCCTTCATATCGTCCCCTGTAAAAGAGGTCACACGGCTACCCTATGCCAGTTCAACACCTTTACGCCTTTTGACATTTGTTCTTCTTTCTGTCTCCAGCCCTGCTCCTTCCTATATCATCTTCAAGCCTTTTTGGAATACTAACGCTCATTTTCCAGGGAATACTGGAACAATGTTTGCGATTTGAATGAACTAGCCTTCACGCAGACTGTATCATAAAAAAACAGAGTTCAAGTGAGATATTCAGAATTGTCCTTCTCTGTCTTCTTTTCTTGTGGATGGGCTTTATTCGCTTTGCTTCGTTGTGTTGATCCACTGAATATAGATTTGCCTTCCTAGATCAGCATTGTCCATCCCTTTCTCTGCATGCCCTATCATTCTAAATTATATCACCCTGCAGCTTTTGCTGATATGTCCATGCTGGCTCACTCACAGTCATAGCAGCGATCCTTTTCTTAAGACTTGTTTTAGGTTCAGTTATAGTTCAGGTGGTTGTTATTGTTACACTACCTTCCTTCCATTGCATACTTATGCTGTACTAATTCAAGGAAGAAAAACAGCTCTGCGCTGTTGCAACCTTTCCTTTTGCTTTATTTGCTCTTCTTAGGGCTAGCAGAAATCTGCTCTTCACGCCCGTCTTGCATTTGGTAAGATCCAGGCTCTGTTTCACTGAACACATAGTGATGTGCCTTGGATTAAGAAGGTCTCAAAAACCCTAAGATCCTACTCCTTAATTTTCTGCTTTTTTGTTTTGTTTCATTATCTGGACACTTTCTTGGAAATGTGGCAGTTTGACACTACTATTTCTATGCCTTAATCCAGAAATCACCTCCTGCTTAAGTCTGTATATATTTTTCCACACTTCTCCAGCAAAACCTGGGCTGAAGGATATGTAACAACACCTCCCTCTATGAAATTAAGGTGCAGCATGATTTTCCCATTGCACTGAATCTGGGCTATAAGTCTGTCCTTTTTGCTTCTTAGGCATTGAAAGCAACTGCCCCCTGGTGCTCTTTGAACAGGGAAGATAATACGGCTGGAGTTCTTCCTTTTTGTGCAAGTGAAGGGAAGGAGATTGGCTCTTTCTAACTGCATGTGGGAAAGTGGCATTTCTTTCCCTAGCAAACTTGACCAGAAATATGAACAAGCAAGCCTACTCCTATTCTCATTTCAATTTCTTCAAAGAGGTGAATTTCATAGTGAATTTTTAAAAGGAAGCAACTGTTGTATCCTTAGAATGTGGCATTAGGCAAAAGAAAGCCAGGAATCATCACAGTCCATACAAGCAATTTGCTATCAGTAACTCTTTGGAAAGCCTGAAAATTATATTGTAAGCTGTCCTGAGACTTTTTTGTGATTAGGACGGCATATAAATATTTTAAATAAATAAATAAATAAATAAATAAATAAAAATCCGAACAATTTCAGAAGAAGGTAGATACAGAAAATAATAGATTTTCCTGTCTGATCCCTATATTATTTGCATCTTATAGTTGCACAGTATATTTCATAAACATTCTGTGGATAAAATGGACATTTAATGCATAAAATAGTGAAAATAATCACTGTATTAAACAGTTCTAGATTCTCTAATAATGTGAACTATTTGTGTTCTGGTCCTAATGATACAGTTCATCTTTGTCATCTCAATAGTACTGTTAATGGTACTGCATTCCTAATTTTTTATTTATAGCAGGCAGTGTGCAAGTTATGCTGCGTTTTATGGCAGATTCAGAACTTATAAGCAGGAACACAGTGATGTTGCAAATTAGATACATTCCATATTA